CTGGGCAACAAGCAAGACTCCGTCTCAAAAAAATAAATAAGTAAATAAAAAATAAAAAAATAAAAAATAAAATAAAATAAAAAAGAGAAGCAGCCTAGTGTGAGGCTTCATATTGGTAATGCTGGATCCTAGAAAACAATAGAACAAGGCCTTCAACAATTTGAGAAAAAAGTCTTCTGAACCAACCATTCTACACTATGTGTAATTATCAATCACTGAGGGCAAAACAAGAACATCTAATAAAATTAGATAATCAAGTTTACTATCTTCCTTAAGTGAAAAAACAACTCCAGAATCTACTGACACATCCAGAGGGTGGGATAGGGAGAAAAGTATCCAAGAAAGAGCATAAGAAATATGAAGAGTGGTGGTGAAGTCCCAGAAAAAAACAGATAAAGCTGAAAATAAATGTAAAAAGAATGTCGCTGCCCAATGGCATCTGGAATATTCACTTTCAGTAAGAAAGGCTTGAGAACAGGCAATTCCATCTCCTCCTCTGCAGTCCTGGTCCAGCTACTGGACTCTGCAGTGGACTAACAGGCAACCACAACAGCCCGTTCACTGTCCGGCTCTCATTTCCTCTCTCCTTTCACTTCAAATTCCCCACACCCACCTCGTATCTATCTGCTTCCCACACGGTAATGACCTTGGTTCCATTTCCCAGTGCAGCAGGAAATAATCAGAGGACAACTTCTACTTCCTCTGGCCCTCTCCTAGGGACTTCCTCCAGCCACTATGAATGACCTGGCTGTGCTCCTAAGGCCACATGATGCCAGAACCGGAACCATCCCTAGTAGCCAACTTACAGACATAGTTCCGGCAGCCTCTCCTCTCTCTGCTGCATGGTTACCTCCCCTCTCCTCTGGATCATTCCCATCTGCCATGCTCCAGCATGTTTTTTTCATCCATCTTAACAAAATTACAAAACTCTCCTGATCATACTTACCCCTCCAACTACTGCTTCATTTCTTTCCTTCCCTTTACAGCTAACTTCTACCAAAGCAAAATACTTTACTACTAAACCCGTCAGTCCCTCTCCACCCAGGCTCTTGACCCCATTCCAATCAGGCTACTTCCCGGCCTCTACAGCCAGCGCTTTCTCAGGTCTCACCTGACCACCAGCAGCATTTATCACTGCTGTTCAGTTAAGTCTCATTTAAAGACTTCCTGACCCACAGGACATCACACACTGGGTTTTCCACTAAAACCAATGACTATCTGCTGCTCCCTCATCTTTGCCTGGACCTCTTCTTGGAGTGCCCTAGGGCTCAGAGCTGGAACCGTCTTGTTTCTATCTATTCAACTCCATAGGCATTATTATTGCATCTGGTGGCCTGGGCATCCTCTCTGCTGAAGGCTCCCATATTTCCACCTCCAAACTCTTCCCTGAACTCCAGACTCATACATTCAACTGCCCACTTGACATGTCCAGCTGGATATCTACCAGGCATCTCAAGGTTAACAAATTGAAACCCACTCCTCCTGCAGTGACCCCATCCCAGTTAATGGCAACTACATGCACCTCAGTGGTTAAGCCAAAAACCTGCTGTGATTCCTTGATTCTTCCTCACCCCTCACATATCCAGTCTGTCTGCCAATCCTGCAGATTAGACTCCACCTACTGGCCCATGGGAGACAATTATAGTAATAGAACTTAAGGAAACGAAAAAAAAAAGAACTTAAGGAAATGAATAATATGGCCAGCAAAAATTTAGAGATGAGGCCGGACACGGTGGCTCACACCTGTAATCTCAGCACTTTTGGAGGCAGGTGGATTGCTTGGGTCCAAGAGTTCGTGACCAGCCTGGGCAACAAGGCAAAATCCTGTCTCTACAAAAACTACAAAAATTAGCCGGGAGTCATGGCATGTACCTGTAATCCCAGCTACTGCGAGGCTCTGGTGGAGGACCTGAGCCTGGAAAGGTTGAGGCTGCAGTGAGCTGAGATCTTGTCACTGCACTCCAGCCTGGGCAACAGAAACTTTATCTCAAAAATACAAATAAAAGCTCTCTTCTAGGGACGTTGTCTACAGGAAGTGAGAATGGTCCAGCTTTTGACACAGCATCATAGGCTTTCCTACAATACACCGTGATAGGCTTCCTACAATACACC